GGTTTTAGGAAAAGTCAAGTTGTATACGACATCGTTTTACCGTTACTGTAAATCGATCTTAAGTTTTGTCCTTTCACTTTTGTAACTTTCGAAGCATGTGAAATGTATTTATATCCTGTTATTTTCGCAAGCTAATTTGTGATCTATTTGTATCTTTTATTTTAGTTCTCACGGTGTTTATAGAGTTTTTAAAGAATTTTAATAAACAGCAGTTTGTGAACCGTCGTTTAACCAAATCACTGGAGCAATAAACATGTCTCGATTGTTTCCAATTGTTTGTATTTTTATAATATATGAAAACACTAATGACTTTTCCCCCTTTTGCCGGAAAACCCTTAATTTAGTTCTAAACAGCGACCAAAATGAAAATTCTCCTCACAATATTAATACGCCATTAAGGAGACAAGTATTGAGGATATAGGACATCATCAACTGGTATGATGATGTTTCATATACAAGTCAGAGTATTCTGTATAACTCAAGTTTCTCATTTTCGTGATAAAGAACTTGTGGCACTTTAGAGTCAAACATCTTTAACTGCTTTAATCCTCCGACTGATGTCTAATTCTGTAAAAATTACTTTAAGGAAGAAAATCTCTAAATTAATTGACTGATCGAAATTCATCTTGATTCCCTCGCCTTTCACATTTCGAAAACTTTAAAAGAAGAGGGCAAATTGACACAGGTCCGCTCTCAATCTATTTCGGAAGGCGATATTTCAACACATTTTATGCAACGAGTTTGTCTCACGCGGCACTCAGTGCGGGAAAACGGAAAGGGCTACGAGATTTAACACCTTGAACAATGAAAATGTTTCAACGGTTAACAGTGAAAACAAAAAAAAATTGCAAAAATTCAAATTTGCACAAAATTGTGGCGCATATTTCTTTTGAAGGTTATATTTACTGGGATCTGGACAGTTAGTGCCCAGTACCATAAAGCTGAGCGCACGATAATTTTCATTTTTTACATTTGACGTGTCAGTTAAAATCAACATTGTTGACAATCCCTTCCTTCCTCCCTCACCCCTAACCTATCTCTACCATCCCAGCGGTTTAATGGCTATCACGAGACTTACTGTCACCTTTGATTTTCTGTATCCACACAGTATACATAGGACAAACGGCCTTCGCTGTTACCTTACTTTTTAATTGCTTTTTTTTTATACCACAAACATAACAAAAGCAATAACATGCACAGGCCTCT